CCATGTCGATGCACGTGTGGTTAGTTGGCACCTTGTAACTGTTTTCAGTCTCTTTGAAGATGCTGTATGTAGGTGCAACCACACGTGTGTACTATTGATTTGAATTATTTTGGCTCTTTTTGTGTCTCCCTTGTTGTGCTTCTCTTCATGCTTATATTTGCTTTTCTGTAGATTATGGTGGATTTTTCCTTTTCTTCGTATTTCTTCGTAGTTTGTTGTTACTTTGCATCCTTTATTGTGTTTGAACATTTTGCTTCTCTTTACAGTTTGCCTCTTTTTTATCTTGTTTTTCTATTTGTGGTGATTTTATTATGTATTGTTTGTTTATTTTGTGTAATTAAGTCTAAGGAGCTTAGAAAGAAAAGCGTCTGGACTTCTTTAAGTTGCTTGAAGACGTTTCACCTCTCATCCGAGAAGCTTCTTCAGTTCTAGGGTCAAATGGTGGAGAGTCCAAGATTTAAACCCTGTGGGAGTGTCTCCCGAGAGGGACATGGACCCCCTATTGATCCTCTACCTAATCACACGCGCCAGGGTGTGAAAACAAGTGTAGGTCCATAGTGAAACCTGGCCCAACCCTATCATGTGATTTCCTGAGGTCAAATGGCCCAGGATGTGAGTGGGCGTTAAGGCGACTGGGTGACTGAGAAGTGTATGCAGACATTGTGTTAATTTCGTTAGTTAATACAGTCGACACTATTGCCTCACAGGAAGGAGGTCCTGGGGCCTTTCTGTCCAGGTGCTCTGGCTTCCTCTCACAGTTCAAACACATGCAGGTAGTGGGGTGAGGGGAACTGCTTATCTAAATTGGACATAAAGGCTTAATGTGACCGTGATGGCTTTGTGTCTCTGTGTTAGCTCAACACACTGGTGTCCTCTCCAGGGTGTGTCCTGCCTCTCACCCTTCAGCCCCTCCATAACCATGAATTGGATAAGTAGTTTGTCATTAGGTTAACTTTGCAACAACAAATATTTACACAGCTAATGAATGGCTCATTAATCTGACACTCGGGGCCACGAGCCTGCTAACCGGCTCCACTAATCTTCAGGCTTCACCAAGAGTCAGTCAACTGAAAGCAATTTTGATTAAACAAGCTCTAGTTAAACCCCAAAAATGTCAATTAAATGACTGGAAGAAGAAGAACTGTAATAATCCCAGATGAAATAAAAGGACATCGTTTGATGGAAAGTGACAATCGTGACTCAGGCACATCTCAAGTATGATTTTATTCTGTGGGTCTCATATACATCTAACTCTGTTGGTGCAATATAACAGACAGCTACTCAGTACAGCAGTGCCTACATTTTTAATATATCCACATTTACAAGCAAAAATACTTTTTAAAAGATAATTATTAGTTTCCTTGTTAAAGCACAGAATGGAGTTCTCTTGGCTTGCAGCAAAACTATATTGCATCAGTCTCATATAAATATGCTTAACCTCACACTCGTTCTAAGAAGATACGCACTGGTTTGTGCTGCAGATAAAGTGCCTACTCTGCAGCTCTGCAGTCAGAGAATGTCGAAGCAACTCAAGACACAGAAAGTGCAATTTAAAAACACTAAAAAGATCCAGGGCGACGAGGACACACAGATGCATGGCAGGACAGCTGTGTGTGTGTGCATTTAATAAGAGGAGGAGAGAGGCTAGACTACAGTTGGTGAGTTTTTTAAAACAAAACTGAGAGGAGCGCCACTAAAAGGAATGACAGTAACAGAACATGAACACAGCGTGTGGCCAGAAAAAAAAGTGTTCATGTCGTAACAGGAGCTCATTTACAACACAAAGACTGACACCTCACAAAATTTCCATCATACACAAAGACTGAACTCAGACCGTCATACAGCGCGGGCCTTCACATGGCCACCGAAGCGTCCGAGTCTTTTGGTCGATTGTGTACGACGTGCTCGAGCTGTCCGGAGTCGGAGACGTCGTAGCTCGTCTTGTACTTAGCCAAGATCTTCATCAAAGGACGCAGCTTCAGCCACCACTGCTCCTTGGGGATCCTGTGACTGCACAGATGAAGAAACGTCAGTGTCAGAATTTATTTCGGCATTTCTTTCTCATTTTGGACTCCCGAGTTCTCTTTTGGACTAATCTCCCTGTGTCCCAGCGAGCTACTGTGATACATACACAAAGTCAGTCTCATCCTTGAGTTGGACCACAGGCTGGAAGACCAGAGTCCTGCGGCGCATTCCCAGCAGACAGCAGGAGTCCTCGGCGTTAGCAAACACTCGGCCTGCACACAAACACCGAATCAATCAAAGGTGCAAACACAGGAAGTCCCTGATCTTACAAACATGCATTAGGGTGGAATTAAAGCCACTGGAAACCCAAACCTACAACAGCGTTCCAGCTGTACCTTTTAGGGTCTATGCAGTGCCGTTATTTTGGAACTTTTTGATCGCTAGGTTTACACCTACACCTCTGTGTGTCAGTGATTTAAAAGCCCACTGGTGAAAATGACTAGTGTCATTGTTTTTGTTGGAGAAACAGTGGACTACACTGGTGATCAGGGTTACCCTCACATCCCCCCAGAATGTGCGAACGTGGAGGTGGATAAGGATAAATGCTTCCCTTCTTAAAGTCGGGGATTTTGTTAGTTGGAACCAGAAAAACTAGTCGTTTCATTATTAATATTTTGTTAATGTATAAAGCGAGTTAACTGTAGAGTTGAAGCTGCGTCTATGTAGCCAACCACCAACAGCCACAGCTGCCTTACCAGCAGATGGCAGCAGCACCCCACCCTCCCTCTCTGTGTGATATGTAACTTTAAAGAAGATCAATCACAGCAGAACATACGACCCGATGGCCAGAACCGGACAACCAAAGGGTCCATCCTGACCTGCTTTTGCATTTTGCACCTTTAACTGTATTTGAATCAGTTTTACAGGCCTGTTACTGTGGCTTATTATACACCACAGTAAGAAAACAAGAAAATAAGGGAAACTTCTTCTGTATTATCAGTAGTGAAATTTCTTTTTTAAGTCTATTTTGTATACGGTAAAAAAAATTCAGAACTTTTGAACTTTTTAATTCACAAATAATTTCTGTTTTTTAATTACAGTCCTTTTTTTGTTAAAGTGTAATCCCAGTGAGTGAGCTCAGTTTTTAATGTTTTTGGACTTTTTTGTCTCCGAGGACTCACCTAAACTCTGATACCATTTATAATTGTTAGGATTTTTGGCTAAATTCCCAGTGGCTTTCACATTGAGAGGTATCTGGGGTGGTTCACAGTGATTTATTTCTACCAGCTAGTGGCTATCTGAAACATCATCATAAATGAAACAGCTGCAGTGTGGTTTAAGAGGATGAGAAAACTGAAGCACAAAGAGGTGTTGATATGGAAGCCGTAAAAAAAAGCAGCTGAATTGAGATAAAGCACCGCACACTACCAAGAAAATGTGGGAAAAGCAGGAAAAAGAAATGTGCGTGTGGCTCACACAGCCCATGCTTGCACATTTCCATTTCAGAAAGGGCCTGGAAACAGCACTGCATGGTGGCTGCTGGTAAATTTGGAAGGCATGGGCAGATTGCATCCAACATGTGTGTAACACAACAGTGAAAATGACACACAGAAACACACACACACACTGGGAGTATGGCGCTAAAATGAAAACACAGGATAGGAGCTAAATATGTAGATGGTCATGGAGCCAGCATGAAGAAGAGGATTTACCTTCATCTTATGTCATCCGAGTGTAAGAGAAACGGACACAAAAAAACAAAACAAAGAGGAGTTTTAACTTTAATGGCGGCCTTAATACACAAACAGTGTACAGGTCGGTTGTGTCGTATCAGATGAGGAAGTGTGTCGGTCCTCATTAAAATGCTACATTGATGAGTGTAAATGATCAATAATTCATTTTCTTTGTGAGGATAAACATACATCAAAATGTCAGACAGAGTGACTCCATGACAGATCTGCTTCACAACGGCCACGCCTCTGCAGGGAGGGAGGATCGGCTACCGCGGGTCTAATTACAGGCAATGGGAACATTAACCTTACCTTGTCTGAACGTCTCAACCAGCTTTTTGGAGACCCACTGCATGGCCTTGGCTGAGATCTTGGTCCCAAAGTTCCGGTCAAATGGAGACGGTGCTCCTCCCTGTGGAAAAAATTAAGCGTTTTCACTCATCCACCAGATCTTTCCCCCCTTTCTTCTTAATTGAACACATGTTTGCTGATGTGGTTTGCTAGCTGTGCTATTTTTAAAACAATCCATAATTCTATTCCTTTGCTGCATTTCATTACAAACTAGATTTTCCTCAGAGATCATCAAAGTTTTGTGTGTTCCAGTTTTTTTGTGCTAATCTCAAGATACACAAATCCAAAATACAACAAAGACCAGCCATGTAAACTGAGAACATGCATATTCATGATACAAATATGGAAAATTGGCACTTCTGTACTCTGGAGGAGACGTTACCACTGATTATTTATACAATGGGAAATCAGCCCACCTGCTGCATGTGTCCCAGCACATTCTTCCTGCAGTCAAACACCCCCCTGCCTTCTTCAGAGTACAGCTGATAGATGAAGTCTGTTGTGTAGTTCTCATTGCAGTTCTCATTCCTGACAGCCACACAGTGAAAGTGTTAGCAGAGGCACACTCACGATGTGTTTAGTTGACGCTCACGCTAGCTGGACGTCATCAGTGGGAGCCGGATCGTTAAATGTCAGCACTGTCAAAACTGTCGACTTCACCACAACATTTGTTTACTACACAAGGAGCTTCGAGTCAAACACTGAGGGATGGAAATGCATGTTTACACTGCAGCTCATTACAAAGAGATGCTGGCTGGAAATTTAAGGTGACTGTCATTTTCTTACCTGAGGACCAGACCTCTCTGAATGCTCGTCTTCATTTTCTCTGTCAGATGTTCGACATTGGCCTGTGGGAAGAAGTAGTGCATGTGGATGATGTTAACACATAGGTGGCTCTGTAAGGTCTGCCTTAGAACTAGAGTAGGGTGACATCTAGTGGATAAAACCAGGAATGACACGTAAAGAACTGAGCCTGAAACCTAAAGGGGACCTATGTTGCTTTACCTTATTTACTGCCATATACACGAACGGCCACTTTTTTAGGTACACCTCTTTTGCCTTCAGTGCTGGTACTAAGGGGCCTAAAGTTTTCCAAGAAAATCCCCCGACACCATTACACCACCATGTGGTGACTTTATATATATGTATATATATATATATATATAGTACTATTCTTAGTTAGCGTATTGTCTGTCTTGTTAATGTTTGTTTATAATGGAGCACTGTAACATAAAATAATTTCCCCCAGGGATCAATAAAGTATTCTGATTCTGATTCTGATTAATGCAAGGCAGAATGGAGCCATGCTTTTATGCCGTTTATGTCAAATTCTCACCCTGCAGTCCCAAAGCTGTAGCAGAAATAGGCTCGACAGCCCAGGAAACATTAACTGTTGCTTCAACTTGCAGTTGTAAGCTGACAGCAGGGGAACCTGCTGCTGTAGTTTGACTTGTTGTGCATTCAGAGATGTTCTTCTGTAAACCACGGTGGTAACGAGCGGTTATTTGAGTCACTGCTGTCTTCCTATCAGCTCAGAGCTGTCTGACTATTCACCTCAGACGTCTGGCATCAACGAGGCCCTTTCACCAAGAGGACTGCGGTTTGTCTGGATGCTTTCTTATTCTTTGATCGATCTCTGTAAATCCTAGAGATGGTTGTGGGTTCAAATCCCAGTAGATCAGCAGTGTCTGCATGCCAGATGCAATGAGTAATTGTCATGTGATTGGCTGATTAGATATTTGGATTAAAAGGAATTTAAACTGGTGTACCTACAAAAGTGGGCATTAAGTGTATATACACTATAAATATAACAGATTCCATCATTATTATTATTATTGAATGTTTTTGTTTTCATACAGGATCATTTTCTTTTTGCTGCTGTTTGTTTTGTTAGAATGTTTTATTTGCTTGCTTACTTCAGTGTTTATTTCGGAGCATTTATATAACACTGTTTGTTGTTCATTGGACAATACGAAAATAACTGTAATAAGGGGAGAATGTCCTCGGAGAGAAAGGAGCCAAAACTGTTTGTTTGTTTATTTTGGAACTGTGACTCATGCAAAGCTACTTCAGTCCAAGAATAAAAAGCTGGTGCTGAAATGACCATCACAGGTCTACTTTAAATAATGAATGCATACTGGTTCTGTGGTTGCGTCTTACCTGCAGTTCTTTGATGTCAAACGGCTCCTCGTAGATGTAAGCAGCATCAGCCCCTGAAGCCAGGCCCCCCACCGTGGCCAGATAGCCACAGTAGCCTCCCATAGTCTCAATAATGAACACACGTCTCTTGGTCCCACTGGCTGATTGCTTGATGCGGTCACAGGTCTGACACACGCACATGAGCTCACAAAGTCAGTACACATTCAGCACTCATGTGTCAAAGCTAACCTCTGTAACCCTGAGCTCATATTTGTCCATCAAAGTAAACATAAAGATTAGAAGTCGTGAAGTGTTAACTTAAGACTTTCCACACAGTAGAACAACACCGTGCTTATTTAGAGAATAGCTACATTTCAACAACAGATTCATCTAAATGCTGCTTTCACCAGACAGACTGGAGTCCTGCGAAAGACGACAGAACACGTCAGATGGTAACATGAAATTCAGAATTCATATGCAAACACTTGGTTAACACATGGAAACATTTTTCTTCCTGTGCTAGATTTTTATTTTGATAGCACAGTGCTGACAATCAGCTAAATATGAGATAATCTAGCATCAGTTTAGAAGTTGCAGCAGTGGTAAAAATATAAAAATATGTGTTACTGTGAATTCACGTGCTCTGCAGAGAGCCCGTCTCCCAAAAATGGGAAATCGTTCTATAGTGTATCCTTGTGCTTTTAAATGAGAATGTGTTGCAACAGCACAGGGCGATCGTGGCTTATGAGTTGGGAGTTCGCCTTGTAATCGTAAGGTTGTCGGTTCGAGCCCCGGCTTGGACAGTGTCGGTTGTTGTGTTTTTGGGTAAGACACTTCACCTGTTGTCTACTGGTGGTGGTCAGAGGGCCCGGTGGCGCCAGTGTCCGGCAGCCTCGCTTCTGTCAGTGCATCCCAGGGTGGCTGTGGCCACAATGTAGCTTACCATCACCAGTGTGTGAATGGGTGGATGACTGGATGTGTAATGCGCTTTGAGGTCCTTAGAGACTAGTAAAGCGCTATACAAATACAGGCCATTTACCATTTTTATAGCTGCTTCCAATAAATAAGCTTTTGCTTTAGCTTTTAACAAGGTTAGCTCTAAGAAGTAACATTTGAAACAAATCTGTTTCTCTGCAAGCTAGCAAGCTAACAATTTTGTAAATCACTATCCTGGAGCCCTCAAAGTGCTTCAGCATATCATATATTTAATGTTAGAAAACAACACTGATGTACTTAAATGTGCACAATTTTACTTCATGCTTTCGTGTATGATTTAAAAGAAAAAGAAAAGAAAAGTTGTGCACCAAAGTTTTCCATCTTTCTCAGCTGTTTTGATGATGTGAGGGGGATCAGTAGGAAAACACTTTTTTCCAATTTTTCGCAGCAGCACATGAATGCACAGTTCATGTTTGAGTTAGTGTTCGGGCTAAGTTTAGTTCATTGACTTTTGTTGCCTTTACTGTAACCTAAATCCAGAGAACATAGTAGTGTAGCACCTTCTGTAAGCAGACAGTTTGCTGAGTATTAGCACTGGACCACAGTTTTATCTCTTGCACTTTCATATCATGCCTCACGTTCAGTGTCTTTGCACAAGCATCTTGAACAAAGCGCTCAAAGCTCTGCTGGCGGCGGTTTGACTGCCTTACCTCCACAATGGCATTGAGGGCCGTGTCTGCCCCGATACTTAGATCGGTGCCGGGTACATTGTTACTTATGGTGGCAGGCAGCATACACATCGGGATGCAAAACTCCTCATAGTTGGCGCGAGCCTCATACAGCTGCAGCAGACTCTCAAACGCCTGAAGCAGCAGTATACAGAAAAACGACCGGTCACTTAGAGAGAGAGGGGTGAATCTCTCTCAGTTTGCAAGAGAGTATCCCGCCATTCCGGCATGTTCCGTGTGATAGCGGCTATGGCTTCCCTTTGGCAGAAAGGACGGGAGGATGGGATTGTGAACAGAGTGGTGGAGAAAAGAAAATAAAAACAGAAAGAGTGGCAGAGCAGAGTGGGGAACGTGTAATCAGAACAGGAAGTTGATGTGCAGAGAGAGAAAACAGAGGGAAGGATGATAAACAGGGACAGACAAAGAACAGATGAAGAGACAGGACAGAGAGATGTGTGTTTGTTGGCCTCAGAATCTGCTCCACGGTGACGCGGCATATAACAACCACATGACAGCCAGATCTGCTTATATTCAGCAGGACAAGCAGGGCCAATCGAGTCTGCATACACGGCAGGAGGACATGAAGATGGCCAAGCTGCGATTCCAGTTTGAAACAGCACACGTTACCTGAACTACAGGCTGTTAAGCTTGTGTTCTGGCGATGTGTAGACGTCAAAACCTGCATGCAGCCAGCCACTCATCATGACGTGTCAGAGGACACTATCGCAAACACACAGACAGGGAGAAGGGCAAGCAGAGCAAAACATGGCGGCGACAACACGTGTGCACCTCACAGCATGCCTCCATGTTGACACTCGCTTACTTACCTGAAGGGAGCTTTACGTTTACCAGTCACGCCTCACGGTGCTGACATGACTCACTTTGTCTGTCTGAATTTCTAGTTTTTAGGGAGGCTTTTTGTGCCACATGTGGCTGACAGATGCCACCGTTACAAGAATTTCTTCCGAATGATCCCCTGACAGGCTGGTGACTGGTAAAACACAACACTGTGGGTTTTTTCCCCTTGTTGAAACACAGCTGGCTGGCTTGTAAAGTGAGCGGATGTGTTTGTGTGTCTGTGTCATGTCTGTCTATTCCTGTTGGCAGGCCCCATCACTTACAGTAGTGATGGCGTTCAGAGCCGTGTCAGCGCCAATGCTGAGGTCAGAGCCCGGCACATTGTTGGAGACAGTGGCTGGGACCATGACCATGGGCACACAGAACTCGTCATATTTCCCACGAGCCGTTAACAATTCCAGCAGTGACAGGAAGGCCTGCAGGGCAGAGCCAAGTGCTTTAGTGTCTGCGAGGGGTTTGGAAGCTTGGTCTGGAAGAGAGGTGCTACTTGCCACAAAGGAAAGGGTAAGACATAAGTGGAGGGTGCCAAGGGGAGGAGCCAGGTCTATCACAACGGACAGCAGCGAAACAGACAGGTACCACTCCACATTCACCCTCAAAAAACACACACGTACATCATACACAGGATAACTCATTTACTTGCATTCATCAAAGGAAAAGTAAAGCTGGTGAGCATCTATACAGGAGTGCGTGAAATGGCTGAAGAAAAGCAGGTGTTCTCTGTTTCCTAATCAGATCAAATCGAGTCAACTTCAGTTAAATAATCCAAAAACATCATGTTAAGGAGTCTTTCTCACTATATAGCTATACATATATATCATATACCATTTAACATGTAATGCTAAATATTAGCTTCCAATGTTGCAGTTCTGCAGCTCTGCTTTTAGGCAGACAATTGAATTTAAAGCATAGTTTTGTACACAGCTATGCATGGAACCATACAGAGGTGTGCTGAAATGAAGTGGGATAAGGCTGATGGAAACATTATACTGTTTACTGTAACATGTCATAAATATTCATCATTTAAAAGCTTTTAAGCTTGTACACAGACTTAAAGATGAGAAGCATCTACTGACAGATTCAACAAGTTAAAAGCAAAACGAGCAGAGACAAAAACAGAGTCTGAAACTTACCTCGAATCCACCAATAATCAGCAAAGCATTTATATTGTGCTTTCGCATTTGCTCTGCAATTTTCTCCACGTGTTTTGCAGGAAGTGTTCTGAGGATTACAAAATGAGTATTATGAAAAAACATTATGGAAATATGCAAAATCATTGAAATACAAAGTGTATGGCTGGGAATTTAGTTTCTTAAAGCTATCTATGAGGAAATTCTCTGGATACACTGGTACGGTGCTGATACAGACTCCATCACTTGTAGATATCTCAATTTAATCATTATTTTATAAGAAAAACTGAAGACTCTTTACCTTTTTGTCCCCAAGAGGGAGCCACCCTGTCCTGTCCAACCTCCGACATCACCCCATTTCACCTCCTTAATCTGAAGGGTAGATGGATGAGACAGATATGTCTTGATGCATTCTCAATCATCATCCATCCAATAAATCTCCAAAAGTTGATTCTGTTCATCTGGACGTAGCGTTTTCTGGGAGAAACGTTTCGTCACTCATCCAAGTGACTTCTTCAGTCTCAGCTGACTGCAGGTTTCCCCAATCTTATAAACAGTACATTTACATAATGACTGAAACCAGCCCACTGAAGGAACAGTGGGCTGTGAGGTCAGTAAGGATGAGGATGTACACATCCTGGACAGGGAAGAACGCTGGTTTGAGCGCGGAGTCAAGGAGGCCATTTACGTAAAAAGGGAAAGACCATCTCTGAATCGAGGAGGGGGCCTAAGGGTACATCTTTCTCCAACTTACAATGCTGTGATTGCAGCCATTCCCCAACTCTCTGTGAATGGTACTCATGGCCATTGATCAGTGGTCTTTGATCAGTGGGTTTTGGTCAGTGGTTGTTGATCAATGGTCATGAGAATTTGCATAATTATGATTAAGGAACTGACCTCACAGCCCATTGTTCCTTCAGTGGGCTGGTTTCAGTCATTATGCAAATGTACTGTTTATAAGATTTGGGGAAACCTGCAGTCAGCTGAGACTGAAGAAGTCACTTGGATGAGTGATGAAACGTTTCTCCCACAAAACGCTACGTCCAGATGAACAGAATCAACTTTTGGAGACGAGACAGATACGTTAGCTATTACTGATGAGTGGAGTCGTTTACAGGATGCTTTTATTTATATTGTTTTGTTTTAAATGTTCTAATTTAGTGCTCTTCTAACCTGCAACGAGCTGAAAAGCTCCAAAAGCTGGTGCCTTTTTCTTTCTTTGTTGTTGCACAGAGACTAATGAATGTAGTCCCAGTGTGGAAGCTGTTTTCTCCCCAATTTATTTTCTTAAGTTTGCATCTCTCTCACAGTTGTGTATTTTCTGTCCTATCCTCCTGGTTCTCAGGGCAGACATTGCAAACACCAGAGTTAATTTGCTGGACAATCTCTTTCATGTAGCAGCGGAAACTAACAAAGCGTGTAGCAGAGAGTGCTTGAGTCCTGAATAACAGAAATCCATTATTCCCTCTGGTCTAATCTTCTTGGGGTCAGTAGGCACAGTCTGAATCCAGGTCTCACAGAGGATGTTTAACTAAGCGGTGACAGTGGAGACATTCTGATAGAGATAAATGATCCGATTGTTTCTTAAGTGCTGTTCACTGAGCCGACCCCACACTCTGAGCGGTTTCGTCAAAGGAGGCTAGAGGAGAGAAACTAGTTATACCAGTCATGCAACAAAGAAACGGTATCACCTCAGATTACATATCAGTACAGGTTTTCATTGTTAAAAGTCACACAGGTGCTGCTTGCTTTTACCCTGTATTCATAAATCCCGTGACTTTGTGGTGATAGGTAATGTGAGAAACTCTTTGACTTATCAGTGCAGAGCTGTGTTTCTCAGCCCAGGGAGAACAGTCTGTTTCCCCCCACTGGATAGTTGTGGTACTGCATCGTGTCGACTAAGCCGAGCAGAGTGAGCGTGAGGAAATTGGTTTACATTAATCTGGACAGATTATCCCCCGGGTTTCTCTGATTATGCTTTAGTGTGACTGTGCACTGTCTGACTCTCATCAAGCTAAGCCAATTCTCTCTGAGATATTGATTAAAAAATTGGAGTCACACACACAGAAGATTTTTATTAAGCTTGGAAATTATGAATGCATTTAAATAACATGAAATCTCATTAGTTTCTGGCCGATTATAATGACATGCAGTAGCGCAGCAGCAGTGCTACGAGTCTCACCTGTCCTTTGTAGAATCCCTCAAAGCCATCACTGACAGCAAACATCTTGTGCCCCTCAGAGATGCCCACCCTCACAGCTGAACGGACAGCAGCATTCATGCCCGCTGCAGGGGCCCCGACATTCAGCACTGCCACATTGAAGTTGCTCTGAGGACATAAAATGCACAGCAACAGGTTATCATACATTCTGGCTCTGGAATAATCCCACCAAATGATAAAGCGTGATTTTGAACATGGATGATCACGCTCTACAGAAGAAATCAATAAATGCTTTCTGGGGTACTCTCAGCCACATGCTGAGCCTACAGTGGTCATTATCACAGAGGCAGAGGGTGGAGTCAGACCCTAAGGCAAGCTCCACAGCATGGAGTCTGCCAGGCTGCTGCTACACTTCGCTGATTTTCAGTGTAAGCTACCTCCTATGGAGCTGCAGCTCCTCGCAGGGATGATCAAGTCCAACCCTCAGAGGGGGAGCCAGGTGTGATCTAATATCACTGCACAGCAACAGTGGCCCCATATGAAGCCTACGCTCACTAAACCTTAAGGCTTCACACTAAACAAGAATAACATGGTTAGAAGTCAATACTTGTTCTTATTATGTGCACTTTTTATCTTTTTATAATGAACAGCAGGGAACCACTGACGCATATGACTACATACACCTGTCTACAGGACAATGGTAATAAGGTTACTCCCTCAGAAGGTGTGCAGCGCAGGCTCCATAGCTCAGTGGTTAGAGCACTGGTCTTGTAAACCAGGGGTCGCGAGTTCGATCCTCGCTGGGGCCTCATGCCTGGACGATACTTTTTATTTGTTTTTTGCCTCCACCTCTAGATAAATAAAGTATATGGCTTTGTTTTGTCAAACAGCTCTTAAAATAGCAGCAGCAGCAGTAAGGCACATCATGGCAGCAATAGCTGAGTCATTATTTGTTGGGCAGAACCTTAGGCTGACTTGGCTCCCTAAAAACAACCTGCTCTACAGGTATTCTGTGGGGGGAGGGCCTCTGTCCTTTTTCATTTCTGTGTGTGTGTTAAGTGTGAGCAAGCAAAGCTGACACCATCACTTACAGTTGGCAGCTCGGATTCTGGTTTACGATGAGCCAGCAGTTTGTATGTCTTCAGGTTGTTTTCAAAGCTCCTGCAGAAAAACCAAGTACAGTGAGTTCATCTGTTCCAACACTTCAAAACTAAGGGAGGTGTATTTGAAAATGAAGTCCGTGATCCTGATTCTTTCCCTCTTTCCTCACCTTGCTGAACACTGAGTGTAAACAACAGACTGATGGTGCTCTAAAATAGCACCTTGATCCACTTTCCCTGTGTGCACTTGGCTGAGTGAAGTTCAGGTCTGTCGGTCATACCTGCCCCGAAGCTTAACGGCCTCCTCAAAGCGTTTCTGGTCCATAGCTTTCTGGACCTCTTGAGTCTGGAGAAAAAAGAAAGGAGATTGTTTCATTGCTTGAAATCTGCATTTAGACACAGCAGCACAAAAGTACTTTTCAATTTGTTTAATCTACACGATTTGGGAATAAACATCTGCATGCAAGGTCTGTGATCTTTGAAGTGTCACAACTGCTGCACGGAGGAGAAACTGCCCTGAAGTGTGGACAGAGGAAAAAATAACGTGTTATTGTGTGTTTGGGCAAAAAAGGTGACTAATACGTAACCTGCTCTTCACCTCTAACATTTCCTGCTACATAACGTCAGTGAGGTCTTCACTGTGAGCTCTGTTAAACCCAAACAAGGAGCGAGAACGACAACAAAGCTTTTTTGTGCATTTCTATGGCGGCACACATCATCATAAACAGATAATGATTAACCAGTGGCTCCACCTCAAACAATGCACTTCTCTTGTGGACACTATTGCCACTCCAGACTCTGTGCTGTCTGAAATCATTACTTAAGCTCTTTGTCTTTATGGACTCTGTGTCTGTCTCTCCTCGGCTTCTCGGGTTTTGTAAATATGTGTGCGTGCATGCCTATTGAATACGTGAAGGTCTTGGACTGTTTCCAGCACAGAACAGCACTTACCATCTGCACACACTCCATCAGCGGCACGCGCACCGATGTGTTCCCACACAGAGACACCACACAGGCCGGCGTGTTGGCCGTGGTCTCCAGAAGCGCGAGAACAGCCTCAACACCCATACGGCTGGCCTGTATGTGAGACGCACAGATTAAACTGCATCTTCCTCACTCATTGTTTCTATGCCAACACATTCTTCCCCTGCTTAGGGTTTCTTTTGTTCTTTTAAGTTTTACTTTAAATCTAAAATTGGTCTCCTCTTAAACATCCATCATTTTTTTGTTTTCATCTTTAGACGTTTTGTAGTAAACGGGAAGGGTTCCTGGGATACACTTGCACGTGTGCAGAGCCACAAATCTGTTAATATGCTTAACGTAAAACCTGAGGGCAACGCTCCTCAGGCACACACAGGATCAAACAGGAAATGTTCTGGACAACTCCTCAAAACAATACTGCGGACAGGGAACATTTACTATAAATTCTCAAAAGACCATCTATTGAAATTGTGAAAATTAAATCATTTCTGATAACATAATGGCTTTTAAAATTAGGAATAACACTTTAAACACTAATAAATATGCTGCTCAAAAACATAAATGTGCCTATAAACTGCCAAAATAGTCAAAAATGTCAGTTGCAACAACCTCACGTGATAAATTTAAAAACATGGTTTATTTGACAGGCCAAAAGCAAAAGATACTGCTTGGAAAAAAAATGAATAATTTTTAATCAGAGTAAAGCATCAAGTCAGTTAAAGTTGTGGGTATTGATCTGGTCAGTTAAGAAGCAGAGGAGGTTGCTGATCAGTTTCAGCTGCTTCGGTGTTAATCAAATTAACAACAGGTGCAAGAGCATGGAGGAGATCCCAGGAGAAACTTAGTTACTCTAGGAGAGCTGGACGGGGGCGTAGAAGGTCCTTAATCCATCAGCAGGAGTGTTGTCTACTCCTTTGTGCGAGGAGGAACAGGATGAGCACTGCCAGAGCTACAAAACGACCTCCAGGAGAACACCTGTGTGGATGTCTGTGACCAAACACAGAAACAGACTTCATGGGGGCCTGAGGGCCTGATGTCCTCTGGCTTCCCCTCTGTGTTCACTGCCCGGCACCGTGGAGCCCGACTCACATTTGCCATAAATACCAAAACAGGCAGGGCTACCACCGATTCCCTGTGCTTCTGACAAATGAGGACACGTTCACCCTGAGCAAATACGACAGACAAGAAAGGATCTGGAGAAGCCATAAAATCGTTCAGCATGACTGGTTTGTTGGTGGGACAGTGATGGGCTGGGGAGGCATATCCATGGAAGGACGCACAGTCCTCAACAGCTTAGGCAACTGCACCCTGACTGCCATTAGGTATCAGGATGAAATCCTTGGACAGATACTCAGACTGTCCAGGTGTTCAGTGGTGCTCTGGTCCAGCTCTGGGAGTAGATTCCCCAGGACATCATCCTTTGTCTCATGAGGAGCTTGCCCCGTTGTCAGGAATGCTGACAAGATTGTGAAGGTCACACAAACTACTGAAAACCATTTTTAACTACTAGCCTGCAGTAATTTGATTTTTAGGGTGTCTTCTGGAGGTTAAAGTTCATTTCCATCAAATGATCTGGCATCATTTAATTCCTTATTTTTAAAACAAGTTTTATTTAACCAACAGGCCAGAGGCAAAGTAGTTTGACAGAGAAAAATGAATCCTGCTTTTTGAGCACGTGAACCCAACAAATGTTTGATATTTTGGCCCCTAAAGTAATTCAACATTTAGCAAAAAAACATCAGAGCACTGGCTCATAACTCAGGAGGGTGGACCTACCAAGATACGGTCAAAAGCAGATGGGGTTCCTCCTCTCTGCACGTGTCCCAAAATTGTCACTCGTGTGTCGAAACCCAAGCACTTGACCACGAGCTGCGAGGAAAAGAAAAACAAGTTTGAGCAGATGGCCTGGCATCACGTCATCAATATTCTCATGAAAACAACAGCTGTTCATTTAGCTAATGGACCCTTAAAGAGGCAGTTCACCCTAAAATCAAATGTCTGTACTTTCCTCAGGCCTGTGCTGCTGTTTATCACCTATATTTGCTTTGGTGTGATCACTCAGCTCCAATTGGTAAGTCTGTTTTCTCTTGAATATAATGCAATCAGATGATGTTTGCCTAGTGCTGATCAGAGAAGCAAAAATTAAATAAATACATGCATTTACAATAAACCTCACAGGTACATGCAGGCTTCCTTCCACATAACAACACAACTGTTAGTCGGTTAAACAAAATAAATTAAAAAATGTGCGTGTGTTTTGGAGGGTTTCAGTGTTTGTTTTTTAAATAAGCATTCCTGCTGAGCCTTTTAAATGGATTTTGAGCACCACAAATCGACTGAAGAGAAGGCAGACGGCAAAGTCATCTAGATGGATAAACAGCACAAGATAAATAGGACCAGAGAAAAGGATGTTTATGGGTGAAGTGTCGCTTTACTGTTGTCTAAATTAATCTAATGCATATTATATATACACTAATAAAGGTATAACTGTGTCACTAATATATACAAAACAAAGGTATATGCAAAAACACAGGTAAACAAACTGGCACATCACAAACTTGAACATCAACACGATCTGAAGCTGAAGAGAAGGGGAAACAACAAAGCACAAGCAAGCCGTTCTAATTTTTCAGTCATGTTAGAAACGAGCTTTTAATTTGAAATCAAAAATAATTACTTTAAATAAAAAACAAGAATCTCCAAATAAAAATGTTAGTAATAATCATATAATAATATCATCATGATTCACAATTTACAGTTAAAAAGCCAATTTGTAAGGAAAAAGAAGGCTATGTGTGAAGCAGCTATAAGTAAATGCTATAAGACCTATAATAGCTGTGAGGTTTAGGAAAGGTGTCTTGCAGTGCTTTGGCAGTACAGTGTGGTGAAAGCCCTCTTACCAATCTAGCAAGTGTGCTTTACAGAGCATTCCAGAAACACAGCAACAAAGCCACACCAGGGCAGCAGTACAGTAGTAGAGGTCATTCAGGAGGGAGTCAAAGCTGGAACTGGGTACACTCTGTACTTACATTCTTAACATATTCAGTGGTAATGGATTTGTTGTTACGATCAATCGCCCCTTCGGCTACAATTATGATATTCAGCCTTTTCATCCCTGCTCGGTTCTACAAGGAGGGCGTGGTGGAGAAACAACATGACAGAAAAACTGAGACTGTGGCTGTGACGTGGGCTTTCAGAAGCACGGGGAGGGAGCCGGACGACGACGGCAGCCTGGGAGCCGAGGACAGATTTGTTCACAATAAAAGCCTGGGTGTCACCACGGCTTGTGTTCACACTTAGTTATTAGGTGTATCCTGTCTTTATTGCTGCTTGTCCACACTTTGTTATTACGGCACTAGCGTAATGTGAAAATGTGAAGATAACTGTAACCAAAGATTTTGGCGGTGTGTAGCTCAGATGGCTGGCTTGCATCAGTCAGGTCTCCGTGCTTCTGGCTTCCCCTTTCTTAACACTCAGGTACTCACATCCTTGACAAAACTAGAGGTTATAGGCTTCCCGTGCCTGTCAATGGCTCCCTCTGCAACTATGATTATGTTCAGCCTTGTTCCCCTGGAACGGGTCTAAATCATAGAACATTGGCGTTTTTTTTCAAAGCAGAAAAAACACAAAATCTCACAAAAGTCTTTCGTGATTTAAAGTCTGTGTAGAAAAACAAAGAAAGGTTTGGAACAACATGTTGTCAGATTAAATAAAACATTACATCTCATAGAACAGCCCAGTAATACTACACTTCACTGAGTAAGTCCGACTGTGTTACCGCAGATAGTTTCTGACACATCTTCTCCTCCCAGCCATCCTCTGGAGGCATTTCAGGGATCAGCACCCAGTCTGCCCCGCAAGCCAGGCCGCTCACCAGGGCCAGGTAGCTGGGAAACACACACAGGTGATAAAGGTCTGTGTCTCTGACTGAGAATTGATGGTTCTGGATCTGCTAAGGTTTATCTATTCTTACCCACAGTGTCTGCCCATGACCTCCAAAACAAATGTTCTCTGGTGACTGAAAGATAAGGAGAGGAAATATGATGTAGGAACGCTGATGTACCCGAGAGCAGGTGTAGAAGATACCAAGATAGTTTTTTCCTGCGTTAAACTTTTCTCAACTTCAAGGTGAGTGATTGAAACAGCTGCTGGTAAGAGTGAAGGATTGGTAAATGGCCTGTATTTGTATAGCGCTTTACTAGTCCCTAAGGACCCCAAAGCGCTTTACATATCCAGTCATCCACCCATTCACACACTGGTGATGGCAAGCTACATTGTAGCCACAGCCGCCCTGGGGCGCACTGACAGAGGCGAGGCTGCCGGACACTGGCGCCACCGGGCCCTCTGACCACCACCAGTAGGCAACGGGTGAAGTATCTTGCCCAAGGACACAACGACCGAGACTGTCCAAGCCGGGGCTCGAACCGGCAACCTTCCGATTACAAGGTGAACTCCCAACTCTTGAGCCACGATCGCCATTATTACATTTGAAATGTACCCTGATAATTAAAGCCTGAACTAGCGACTGACTTGTCACATAGGCAGTAAACTTTCACATGTAAAGCTGCTAAAGGTGCTTATGTTGACTGCTCACCTCTGTGCAGTTGTCATAATTGCGTCCACCACCTCGATGATTCTGTGCAAAGCCGAGTCAGTGCCAATTGTCATGTCAGTTCCACAGAAGTCGTTATCGATAGAGCCGACCATCCCCACAATGTGAAGCGCAGAGTACTTCTGGACAGCATCGGCCTCAATCGAACCTGAAAGGAAAAGAAGCTTAGAGCAGGACTGCGCTTTTGTCTGAGTAACCACTCTGAGTCACAGCTGCTCCTACAAACACAAATCTCTGATATTACTGGCAGGAGATACGGCTTCTCAGTATGGCACCAAATGACTCCAAGCTCCACATGCTGTGCAGAATTGTTCTCAACAGTGTAACCATGTCCTCAGAATATATAAACTGCATTTTGTCTTGATTGAAAATAGGAAACACAGAGCCATAAAGCCTCCACTACCTTGCTCCACCAACTCATTCAGCAGCCCGCTCCATTCCTCCTTGAAGAGGTTGGCTCCCGTCAGACTGCCGTCTCCACCGATCACACACAGGTTGGTGATGCCGTGCTGCACCAGGTTGTGGGCAGCCTTCAGGCGCCCCTCGTGAGTGCGAAACTCTTTGCAGCGAGCGCTGCCGATAACGGTCCCTCCCTGGTGACGATAATGGGAACGTTTTAAAAGTGTCTCCGGCCCATATCACATGGTTATTCTTTTGGTTTGAACTCCTGTGTTTGTTCTTCAACAGGAAAAGCACCACTGATAACACACCGCCTAGTGCGATGTTAGAGGTTGTAATCTTTCACCACTAAACAGCCTTATCGTCTGTGTCACATGACTTACATGTTCCTCCTTTGTGCATTGCTTCCTGCATGATAAACCTAACTTTGATAAATACATATTTCAGTGTTTTTCCACACTTTTATATTTTATTTATGGTGGGT